GTACGTGGATCGCGGTTTGTTTGCCGGCCAAAGAGTTCTGATTGTTTAGGACTTTGAATCTAACTTATATCGAGTGCTGGTTCATGCTGTGTGCGTAGAGTTTGAATGTATTTGGTCGCTGCATCCTTGTTTCTTTCTTGGTTAATACGCAGCTCATAAGTTTTACGTAATATCAATTAGGTAGGCTCATTTTGAGCATGAACATGCTAAGGTATATCGCTAACACACGTTGTGTATTATTTGGGTTTAATTTTCTTTACTATAATTATTGTAGTGTATAAGTTAAAATGTACTACGTAGCTTTTATTACTTTTGCCATATACATAACTCGCATTTGCTAAAATTGTTACCTTTATTTTCGGAGCATTTTAGAATGTCACGACTGTTAAATTTTTGTTTGACTCACTTAATAATTAAAATGTTATTTCCGTAACATCTTATCTAACTAATAACAATTATATTTTATTTTTATTTAAATTTTTGGAGTGTCACATTCTACCCTCCTTAAAAGAATGCTTCGTCCCCGAAGCATAAGCTACTGTCATTATGATGGCACTTTTAAGTATTACAGCAGCATCCTGCTCCCGTGCAGCCTCTGCCTGCAAAAGGCTCAGTCCACCCTACAAAAGGGAAAACATGAGACCATAAATAGACGAACGACAGATAGAGGTTGAAAAACAAAGGGGGGGGGGGGGGCATATCCTCGAAAGCACAAAGAGGTAGGGACGTACCTCGAAGGTCAGCGCCAGGGCATGTTTAACAGCCTCGCCTGAGGAGAGGGCTGGTAGTTCCACCCCAGTTTGAAGGGCCATATCCCTCCAGACTTCAGCAACCGGGCGACCTGTAATGGGCAATATGGCTTCAGCGGCCTTGGGACCGGAGGGCTCGATGCGCTGCCTCTTCGGTTTCTTCCCCTTATCCTTATGACCACCTGCGGGGGGGGGGGGGGGGGGGGGGGGGGGCGAAGTTAATCGGCTCCACATCCAGACCCGAACCGGCTTCAGCAGCCGGGACCTCCGAGCTCTGCCCGATCACGACCGCAATAAGATGCTGCTCGGCCTGCCCAACACGCCGATCGGCCTGGGGCGCAGCGGAGGAATTGGCCTTAGAAGATACATTGGCCCCTCGGGCCTTCGCCAGCGCAGCTCGTTGTTTGGCTGCCCTGGCTTCACGGCGAGCCATCAAACCTTGGTCTTCCATCTGCTCCGGAGTAGGGGGAGGACCTGAAATAAAAACCAGAAAATGTCAGAATCGGGCGGTAGGAATCTCAAAGAGCACTCACCACAGGGGCTCGACCACCCAGGCCAACAAGATAACCAAGAGCGAAGGAATCCAAGGATCACGGGCGGTACCTATCCCAGCATCGGAGAGTGCCTGAATGGTCAGAACACCCTTGAAGCTTTGGACGCCGCCCAGCTTCAACTTCTTTACAGCTTCTTCCAATTCGACGGTCAGCGTGGGCTGTTTGATCTTCGGGGGAAAGCCATTCCACCGCACAGGTAGCTGTTCATCCAAGTAACGGAGGAAGAAGAAGCGATTCTTCCAATCGTGATTGGAGGACGGGGCACCGTCAAATAACTTCTGACGAGGATGGGCGGCTACGCTAAAAAACCCATCGGCGTTTTGGGGAGCAACCTAGAAGAAGTGGTGGAAGAGGTCCAGGTTCAGAGTCAACCCCTTCGATTGGCAGCAGATAATAAATGCAGAGTTAAACCGGTACGATTTGGGCATGAATTGTGCCGGTACAACATTATAATGACAGAAGAAGGCAAGGTAGAACTGGTGAAGGGGGAAGCACAATCCGTCCTCGATAGAGTCCATATGAACCATGATCATTCTCGGATGTCTCATGAACATGTTATCCGCACCATGCAAGCTGTAGACGAATAGCGGGGGAAGGAGGATCTGCAGATCCTTCAAAGTCCTGCGCGAGAAAGATTGCTGGATCCCGGAAACATTATGAATCTGCACGATATGGCAGGAGACGTCGTCCACAGGAATGCCAAGGTCAAAAATCTGCAGGTCATCCCCTTCGATCGCTTCGTCACCAGAATCATAGTCAACGGGGCGATCAACCTCGGCGTTTGCTTGGGCCGCCGCCATCCGGTCACCTCTGGGGGAAATATCCATATCAACTTCCGCTCCCACGCCCCCAGGGATAGCCATATCTGCCACAACCTGCCCCACCACAGCGGAGGTGCCAGAGTGGTCGGAAGTGCTCACCTCCCCCGAGGAACGGGAACTGGAGCCCGAACCAGAAGACGAGCCGGTAGAAGAGCCCGACCCGGAACTTGAATTGGAAGATATCTCCATAGAACAGACCATATTGAAAGATGAAGCAGAGGAAAGGAAGAGAGTGGGTTCAATTACCTGACGAACTTTGAAGAGCGGATCGAGGAACCGGAGAATACTTGCAGAAGAACTTTGAAGGCAAATGGCGAACAAGGCAGGAAAGTGAAAGCCCTAATCCACACGGAAGGTCCAATATTTAAAGAGAGAGGCACCTTATCCCTGTCCAATCCGTGTATGATGCGTGACGAGGAGTATTTAAAGGGAAAGTCCCCGAAATATGACTAAAAACGTTTGAAAATTCCAAAATAGGATTGTCATGTTTTTTATTCCCAAAATAGGAGTAATTACTGCCAAGTTTAGAAGATATTGTCATGTTTGAAGTCTGGTACTGCCAAAACATGTCAGTAATTAGTCATATTTTGGAAATAAAAATATGACAGTCCTATTTTGAAATTTTCAAACCTTTTAGTCCTATTTCGGGTAATATTCTTTTTTTTTTTTAATTTTGTTTTGCTTTTGCCTTTTTTAAGTGACTTTACATAATTGTATTTAAATTTTGGCATGTTTGAACTACTTCTATATAATTACAATTTAATTTTTAGAATATAATTTTTGAAATTTAACTGTTACATTTTTACACTTAATATACATAGTTTTTTAAATATACTTGTGCATTCGCAACTTAAGTTAATTTTAAGTACATATTTGATTTATTCGTTATTTGATTCTTAATGTTGACATAATTTTGAATAAATTAAATTATGTTTGGAAAAGTAAAATTTTATCTACCATGAAAATTTTAAGTAGGGATATTTGCAATTTTGTTCTTGTAACTTTCGGTTGTTATCGTTATAGGTCCTGTAACTTTAAACACTTGCAAATTTGGTTATGTAACTAATAAATCTTTGCGATTTGAGGCTATTTCAACGCAAAGTACACTTTCCAACAGAAAAATTCGATGTCGGTGATATCTTTTCTGGTATACTATCACCGGAAAGTGTATATTTTCAGGGAAAAGTCCTTATATCACAAATATTAATTAGTTACAGACTTACAGTACCAAATTTGCAAGTAATTTCCATCATCTGCAATGGATCAAAGACTCACTATTTTTTTGCTTGTTAATATGATGAAATAAAACAAAGTGGCTCTCTAAACTGCCTGTGTTTCTTTGTAATGAAACAGTAGTCACTCCATGCAATTTTCGACGCGATTTTCACTATGGGTCATCCGTTATCTGTGTTTTAGTATATAAGTAAGACTGTGCAAATCTGATCCCCTCTTACCCCACCGTAAGTGTGAGCCTTTGTGACACTGGTGTAATGGTGATGATGAATGATAATCAAATTTACAAGTTACTAAAGTTATGAGACTATTAAATTATTAATGAAAACGACCAAAGGTTACGAGACGAGATTTACAAATTTCCTTATAAGTATGATATCATAATATTTTTATTCTACAAAAGATTTTTTTTACTACACATCGATTTACTCTACTATTTTTAATGTAGTCATTGCTTATGAGTGTTTGAGATAACCAATGCGATTCCTTATATACCACAATTGATGTCCAAGATCTTTTTAGAGTTATGCTAGACATACAAACATTTTTACAAAAAGTCTTACAAAAGGGTATGTGTCATCGTGACATTATTTAACACATCACATCACATTTACAACACTTTTACATCAATGGTAATTAGAATAGCCACATCATTTGTTTGTAAATTTTTTTGTAAGTGTGTTTGTACTTCTAGCATTTTTCATCTTTTTAACATCAAGTACGTACCATCAAAAAAGATAAACACCCATGGTAAAAAATCTAATATTTAAAAAAGACAAGTGTAGTAACTCGTAAATACAAATTCATAAACTAAATGATAAACAAAGTAGCAATGAAATTAGTTGATCCTGGTAAGGGGAATATTCATTTTTGACAAATTGATGAGTTCAACTATCAAAGATGTTAGGAATCTTTTACTGTGTACAATTATTATATTGTTAGATACGAAATACTCTATGCGTCCAGTTTAAACGTTCTCACACAGTTTACGATGTTTGACTGAACATAAAGTTAACTGATCTCTGTCATTAGTAGGATTTTTTTAGTAAATAAAATTTACATATTCAGAAAGTACATTAAAACCGCTACAAAGTCTGATCAAGAAAATTTAGATTTGATAAAAGTTGAATATACAAAGTAAATAAATAAGAATAATGCAGGAGAATAGTGTACGGAAACTATTCTCTGTACAGATGCAATTTTCTCGATCAGTTTTTTTAAATCGGCAGATGCAATTCATCGAACAGTACTGGGACATCAACGCATGTGTATGTATTCGAGACTGGTTGTCTTATTTAACACCATTGATCTATCTTCTCGGTAAACATTCGATACCATTGTAATACACGGAGTATCATTCTGTTACTTTGCTAGCAACTAATAGCTTACAATAACTCTTATTTTGCAACCTAGCAAAACTTCAACAAGCAAAAAATAAATGGAGTATTTCGAGAAGATATATTCTGTAGTTGAGATTATTTTGTAATGACGAAATAAGTCATGGAATTGTATTATTAATTAAAGTTGAACGAACACTTGTCAAATTAGGGCCTGCAATCGAAATTTAAATCACTTCGATCAGCAGTATGAACCCAGATCACCCATGCTCTAATAAAATAAGCATCGTAATTTGAACACCCATCTGAATAATTCTGTTGCCAATAAATTTAATTGAGGGCTTCTTTCATTCAATGTTTAAACAATAAGTTCTTTTCCAGCTCTCATAACCGAGTGATGTAAAAATAAAAAAATGATTTCTTCAAATTCCACACGGGTTCATAAAAGCACAATTCAGATCACTAAAAGAATTCTTTCTGTTTTAAAGTGGGTGGAGCATACAAAAGACAACAAATTAGTGTATGAAAGCAACTTGAAGGTAGTAGAGGAAGTGAAGGGCAGCAAAGAGTGGGTGGCATTGTTATCATCATCATACTCTACAATGGCTTCAAACCATGCTTCAGGGCAGCTTTCCAGACCGTATCAATCTGGTCCACGTTGATGGCTCCGACCTCGTGGTGCGTCCACCCTTCAAGAAAATGCACCACCCCGCCCGCATGGCAAGCATGGACCACACCTCTGTCCATCGTGTACTGTCACAAAAAAAAAAGAATCAGATACCGAACCCCCATTAAAGATGGTTGCTTGAAATAGGTAGGTGTGCTCATGATTCAGGCTTAAAAGAGCGAGCTGAGAATAGATATGCACGTACCTCGCACGATCCAAGGCCCTGGACGTCCTTTGGGAGCTTCATTGCTGCTAACTTCCCATAGGTGCAGTCTCTACGGAATGGGATAACCGGTGGGACGACAAACTGATGAAAATGCGCTCCCGATGGAGCCCAACTTTGCTCTCGAGGCGTTGCCCATTTCCCAATTATCCATGTCTGTCCACATGCAACTCTTCTTACTCATTATCTTTTTTCGTTCATGAAAGATCAAATTATATAAATTTTTACCTTACACAGTTTAGCTGCTTGGTACTTGGTCACTTGAACTAGAAATTGCTGGTAGTCCACTGGAGCTTCACTTTGGATTTTTATGAATCTCTCCGTGGACTGAGTTAGCATCTGTTTAAAATACCCACCCCAAAAGAAGCCAATTGTGAAAAGACAGGATCAGGACTAAGGCGTTTGGAACCTTGGGGAAAACGGTAGCGGTAGAGAAAACATGTTGAGTTTGGCCTTTAAAAATTAAGTTTTTAGACCCTCTAATACGATACACATTTTGTTCAAGCTCCCTGCAAGCTTCTTTTTTCATCCTTTAATTTACGTTGTTTTCATTCAAGCCCCTCACTCTGTCACTCACACTCTATCATCATCCTCTGTTGACAACAAAACAAATGCTACTAATAGGGTTTGTTCCTTTCCTTCTCACGTAATACAAAACAATTAATTTTTTGGAAAATTCCTTTTGTACACGCCAAGTTTTACACGCCGGGTTACACGCCTGTCAAATTGTCTGTGTACAGACAATTTCATCGACTACACAGACATATTGAGCGGCGATTTACGAAGAAAACCGATTTTCACACAGACAAAAAAAAATGTCTGTATCACAGACACTTTATGAAAAATTCAGGTTTAAAATGTCTGTGATACAGACAACTCTTGATATTTTGTTTGTATGGAAATCGATTTTCTTCATAAAACGCTGGTCAAATTGTCTGTCTAGCCGATCAATACAGACAATTTGACCGGCGTGTAACCCGGCGTGTACACGAAGCGGGATCCTAATTTTTTTTAGACTTATTGAGACCACCAAGACTTTTGTCCAGTAATAGTTTCTAAAAGATTTTGCTTACGTCAATTAATTTGGCAAACATTAATTGTTTTTTCTAGACTAAAGGGTCAAATAGGTCATGTACCCATCCAGAATGTTCAATTCACACCCTGAACCAGGATTGGTCCTGTTTATTTATGTCATGGGCGATACGCTGTTTTGGGTTTATATCCAAGACAAATCATAAATCATATACTTATTCGAAATATGAATTATAATAAAATTAAAGTATCTAATGAAGTTCATAAAATAAAGATGAAAATCACTATTATTATTTAACTTACATATTTGGGCAAAAGTAACAACACGGGTATCGAGAGAAAAAGAAAAAATCATTATTTAAAAACATTTCTCGTAGAAAAATGTGAAGCAAAACATCAATATTCGCTTCATAGGAAACTTTCTTTCCAATAATAAATATGACAAACAATAAAATTGCCACATATAACAACATTAAACTTTCTTTCACTTACAACTAAAAGAATAAATGAAAAGCAATATACTACATATTGAATTCATAAGTTGAGAATGATTTATCAACTGCTAAGAACCTAAAGTTTGAAACCTCAAAAGAATAGGGTTTTCAAAGAAACAAAATGTTTGACCGCCAAGAAGACTCGCACAAGAAGACCTCTGATTTGTCATCCTCTAAAACTACTACTAGGAACTCAAATATAGTTTATTACAATTTGGAAACAAGTAAATAATTGGGATGAGATTTGAGAGCCACAGGCTCTAAAGTAATTATATAAATTTGTTATGTTATAATTAAAATGGATAAAAAGCCTTAAAAGCTAAAGAGATGTGATGTGAAGAGGCGTGTCTTTTATAGATCCAGTAAAAATTGTATTGCTTTTAGAAACTACTCCACAATTGGAGTATGTACAATCGATCCTACTTAATTCACACCCTAAACTCGACAAAAAAGTTCAAATTTAACTTTTTACATGTAATACTCCGGCCGCCGCCACGTCACCTGATCAAATGTCAATCATGCATCCCACATGGCAATTTAAGAGGTCAAATAGGCCCTTGAACTCGACCGAATAGTTCAACTTACCCTCTCAACCGTTAAAAAGTGTCAAAATTGTGAAAAATAAAAAATAAGAAATTAAAAATATATAATAAATATAAGTCAACAATATAAAATATAACCATCTATTAAATAATATAGTAAGGAAATATTTATATTTGGAAGTAAATTAAAAAAAAATCTAAAATAAACTCTATAGCTTTATTTTCATTTTTTATATCTACTTTTTAAATAAAAAAAATATGTTTTTACTCATTAAATTTAAATTTGTATTTCATGTATGATATGAAATGTTTTATATTATAAATCATACTTCATATTTTAGGCTTTTTATTCTAGAATTTATATTATGTTTATATTTTAGACTTGTAATTTTTCATATGCTTTAATTTATTTAATATGTCTTATATTTATATGTAAAATTACAAACACACATGCATATATGTATATATATATATACTTTGTATTATTTCATTTTCCAATTCTATGCTATTCTTCATAGTTCATACTAATCATATATCACATAAAAAATTTATACTATATAAAAGTATAATAAAAAATAGTTATCACATTTTTATACTCTGTATTATTTATTTAAAACGAATTTATTTTCATTCATATATTATTTTGAATTTACCACAAAATATAAATATTTCCTTATTATATTATTAAATACATTTCTATATATTATATTATCGACTTGCATTTTATTTTATATTTGTATTTTATATTTTTAATTTCTTATTGTTTTAGCAATTTTGACACTTTTTAACGGTTGAGGGGGTAAATTGAACACCTCGGTCGAGTTCAGGGGCTTATTTGACCCGTTAAACTGCTACATCAGATGCAGAGGTGACATCTGATTGGGTGACGTGGCGGTGACCGGAGTATTACCTGCAAAAGGTGAAATTTGAACTTTTTTGTCGAGTTCAGGGTGTGCATTGAAGTTTTTTTGAGTTCAGAGGGCAAATTGAGCATTTGGGACGTGTAGAGGGGCCTATAATAAAAGTGTTATATTTGGACTAGGAGTAATTTAAATTTGACGTTTTTTAAATTCTATGCATATTTCGATTTTATATGAATGAAGAATATGACAAATAAACATACCAGAACTCTGATCCGTTGGCGGGCCAGGTAGAGGGCAATAGCCCTACCAAGCTTAGATGTGGCCCCTGTCAGGAAGACCTCATCGACGTCTCTGGGGAGGTCGTTTAGGATAACGGCAGCCGTCAATGTGTTTCCATGGACCACCCTGACCTTAAGATGAGGATGCTTATTCACAAACAATGTTCCGCCCCCATTCAGCCCTTCATTCTTGTTTAATGCCGCGAGGCTAATGACCTTCACCCCTATTCTGTCAGCCACGAGGATAGCTTCTTCTATTTGTTTGTTTATCCCTTCCGCAGCAAAAGGTAAGAAGTACTGCAAGCAAAACTTAGTCATTCAGATTTCTCTCATTCCAACACATGACTTGGCTGAAGTGAATGTTACCAAACGCTTTTTCTTTTACAAAATTCAGTCATTTGAACTAAATACCTTACCAAACAACTCAAGTCATTGTAAAATAAATTAATATGATAGGACAAAACACCCGTACTAAGGTTTTAAAGTACTACTACTCCATTCCTCTCATAACAAATGTTTTCCCCATTACATATTTGGTCGTACTTATGTGGGTGGCTTGGAATCATAAATATTTTCCATATTCAATATTTCTACTTTGGCACTTTTCCTTAACTTGCATGGTGCATCCCTTTATTCCAAACTTACTATGATATTCTAAATTGCCAGTGAGTTAGAGAACAACTTTTATATTCAAAGAGAATGACAAGGAAGATGATACCTGAAAGCCATATCTTGGAACAACCCATGTTTGATGCAATTTCCCTCTGAGGATGTAAAAGTTGAACAAAAAAGTCTTGGATTTGAGCCACATGACCAGCATAACCACAAAAGTATAAGGCCACATTGGTAACAAGAAAAGCTTTGTGCCAAAGGGAATCGAGCTGAATGATCGGAAAACAAAGGGAGAATGCATTGCTGACATCACATCGACGACATGTGCAAGAAACACAAAATCCGGCGCCTTCTCATCTGCACCTTCATGTCAGTAAAAAGTATACCAACATAAATATGAATACGAATATTCTCCTGAATTGGAAGGAGATTAACTAAAAGATGAACTGAGGTTTTTGTGTCAAAACTCATATTCCAGTTCTTATAAGTTGTTGTTTGTCTTCCTCATCCCCACCTTAACTCCAACTAGTTGGGAACTGTGGTATTAAATTTTTAATATCAATTAGTATATAGTATGGACTACGGAGTCTCTGTATATGTACCGAAAACGTCATGAGAGTTATGATACGGATGTGAGTTAGAGATATATTGTTGGCAGGAGTGAGAAGGGGTGAGACGAAGGTCATATAACCCAAGTGTCATCCCCACCACATCACAACCTCAAAAATCTTGTATTTATATATTTCAGTATCGAGTCAATAATCCTCAGGCAAATGTTTTTTACCAAGTTTGTTCTTTTAAATTTTATTAACATACAAATATTTCTATGTAATTGTGAGAGAAGAAAAACAAAACTTACTAGTCCTTGAACTTATCTCCCTCTGAAGCTCCCAAGAACGGGGATCGACTGTCTTGCCCAATATATCATAGAGAGGCATAAAAAGGCAAAAGTTAGTCCTTTTGTCCACATGGTGCAAACTGTAGTACCTGTAAACAAAAAAGGTGGAACCTCTATAATGTAATGTTATTTCAAAATATCACTTTCATAACTTTGAACATATTGATAAAATTTTGTTTATCATTATATTTAGATTTCCATTTCAACTAATCCAAACCTGATGAAACCTGACCCGCAAAGCCCGACCCAAGATGGAACCCAGTTCTTTGATTTGGGTTGATTTTTGGGCCCTAAAGATCAGGATCTGGATTTTTTTTGGGTTTCACTTTAAGCCTTGGGTCAAACCCTTATGTCCATCCCAAAATGGAAATGACGTATAGGAAGAGTAGAATACAGAAGACATACGTTGGGGTATAAATAAGGCATTTCAGAAGCGGGATGCTATTGAAGAGAGGACTAGGCATGATCTCCACGTTGCTATACCCCAAACATCTAAGAAAGTCGAATGTCAAAATGTAACTATACATGACAGTGATTGAACCGTGACCAAGTAACGCACTTCCGAGCGTTGGAATCCCAACTACCACACAAAGTAAGAGGTGTTCCAAGAATGCTGCACTGCCCGCTGCATCAAGCAAGAATTCGAAATGGTTCAATTACTAGCAGATTATGGAAATGATTGAACTGAACTAGCAACATGGGTGTGGGTGTGGGTGTGATTGCCTCTTCACACCTACCTACCTGTAAAGGGATGTGGAATTTTAGAATCATGGTGCAGCCAATGGTAAAGTGGGAAGAGTTGGGGGCTATGCAATAACCTATGCATGACATAGTAAAGTGGCTCTGAGATTCCGATATGCAAAGCAGCACACCAAACAAGGCCTTTGAGTTCCCATGTGGGAAGATGAGCCAGTGAAGGGAAGCTGATATAGGCAAATGCGGCCATTATAGCTTGAAGTATTAGGAAATTATCCCTGTTTAAGATTCATAGCAAAAAAAAGAAGAGTAAATGTCACACACAAAACATACCTTTTCCCGAGTGTGTCCATATTAAACATATTATTGTTTATCAAAGTAAACTGATTGAATAAAGCTCAACCTTAGATCAGGTCTTGATCTAATGGTCGACCACTCATCTAAGCTCTCTTGAGGGTCTGTTTGGATGAATGGGTCAGAAGGGAATGATTTGGAAGACTGAGATACATTTCATAGTAGAGACTAAATAATTCTCCAAAAGCGCATTGCCTTCCATCCAAACAGACTTCATTTATTCAAACAAAATGCAGGAAGAGAAAAGTTCATACCAATGCCATTCCTTGTCAATTTGTTCAAAATCAATGCCTTGTAGAGACACCCGTTTGGCGCGGTTAAGAAAAAGCATATTACAGTAAGAACTCCATAACTGATGAACGAGGCCTCTCATAGAAGTCAAGACAAGAATATGTAAGCACCATATATCAGCCCAACTCTCTTCCCAAACCAGAGTATATATGAACTTTGCAATCAACGGTCCATATAACACATACTGCACAATACACAATAACAATCAACAAATAACCCTTTAGGAAGCCAAACAGAATAAAAACAATTAAGAGCAACAAACAAGAATAGAAAGTTAAACAAAACATGCCTTGAAATTTCCCAGGTTTTCCCAAGGCCAAGAAAACAAGGTTGCATCTTTTCTCTTCATAAGACTAATTCCTTCTTCATGCACACCCACATTTTCTTTCTCCATATTGTTTCTTGAAATCCAGTGAGTTTACTGTCACCCGGATGTGGCAAAAACAGAAAGAATTTAAGCAGTGAAAGACACAATTCACACAAATAAGCAGATGGGGGGGGGGGGGGGGGGGGGGAGGGGATGTTTAGGAAAATGACTGAAACAAGAACGGTTTCTTTTTCTTCTTCTTTTTCTACGTCTGAGCTTAGATCTGTACAAACCAGTTCTCTTGTCTCTCCCTCTTTAAGCTCTTCTTCTTTTAGCTCCAATTTTTATGAGTATGATGCTGAATCGTGTGGTTCTGGGTGGGAGTAATTATACCAGTAGCCCCAAAGAGGGAGAAACTGAGAATGGGTGTGCAGTTGGATTTCAAAATCATCAGATTAATTAACGTTTGTTTGCTCTTCTTTTGTCACAGCAATTTCCCCACCCGCTATGATTGACAGGCATCCAATTCTTGTTACCCCAAATGACCATTTAATTATCAAAAATGATGTTTGTAAACACTCTTATACACACTTTTGTACACACCTATGTCTGTGAAAGCTTTTCTTTTTGTCTGTGAACATCGATTCATAGACAATGTTTTGCACAAACAAAATATTGTCTGTGAACCGGATTCACAGACAAAAAAAGCTTCACAAACATGGTGTGTATAAAGTATGTACAATGGTGTGTACATCAAACACTTGTTTAATTATATCTACAATTTGGCCATTTGCTCAACGAATGCTTTAAATGACGCAGGACGACGGTAGCCTGGAACCTAACGGTTATTATTGACAGTGGTCAAGGTATCGTCAATTCAGAAAAGACAAAAACAATTATGGGATTATGAGAGCATTGACAAAGTTAAGGTGGTCTATGTATGGTTTTTATTTCCCCTCTTCTATTTCTAATTTCACTTTTCCTTTTATCTTTTCCGATTTCTATTGATATTTACGTTTTACACTTTTTGGATTCACTTTTTCATGTTATTTAATTTAATTTACGGAATATGTCTTTACCAACGTATATGTCCAATATAGAAGACTGAGTCATACACTTGTTAGATGACTTGAGAGGTGGGGAAAAGAGACAGAAAAGAGACAGAGAGGAAGACCCAAACATACTTGGATTAGAGGAATCATAACTTATATGCGTCTTCTTGTGTTGAATGAAAGCATGACTTTGAAGAGAGCAAATTGGAGGGCGCATATTCGTGTGGAGAATTGATGTCTTTTCTACATTTCCTCTCTCTTTTCTTTTATCATTTATCTTCTTTATCTTTTTACATTCTTGTATTATTTTTATCTTCTAGCTTTTTTATGCTCTTATCTTTCTATTTTTTATCTTTCTTGTATTCTTATGTTATTGTTATCTTATATTTATTTATCTTTATTTTATCCGTTTTATCATACTTTTTCCCCTTCCTTGTCCGTCTCTCTGTTTGACATCGATTCATGTTAGCCGACCCCAAATTCTTTTGGGATTAAGACTTGGATGTTGTTGTTGTTGTAAATGTCCAATATCATACTCTCTCGGTCCCGCTAAGATTTACCTTTTCAGAAAATCTCACTAAAATTGTCTCATACCAAATTTGGTAAAGTTTATGTGGCTCTAAATCATTTTAACTTTATTCTTACTTTATCAATTTAATATCAACGACGCAAACCCACTTTTTTTAATAATCGTGTCACCTTCTCTTGTCTCAATCTTAGTGGGACGGAGGTAGTAATATATATATATAGGGTGCGGTTTCAGTGAGAACGATGTTTAACGTGAGAACGTGAGAACACTCACATTTAAATCAACGTGGTGCACAATGGAGCTATTCTGTTGCACATTTTCAATTTGCTCGAATTAAGCCTATTTATATAAACACGGTGGCATTTTTGTAAATATTGTGAAAATGTTAAAATGTGCAATATACAAGCTTCATTGCGCAACACGTTGGGTAAATGTGGTGTTTTCACGTTCTCACGTTAAACATTCTTCTCATTTGATCTTTATTTTATATATATATATATATATATATATATATATATATATATATATAGGGGTGAGATCATATAGGAGTGAGATCACATACAAACCATGCTTAACTTACTAACCTACAAACTCAATAATATGCAACACTTGATGCACAATGCTCAAATCCAACGCTCCAGAATCATTCTCATCTCTCTCCTAACATGGTATTCTCATTTGATCCTTACCCTATATATATATATATATATATATATATATATATATATATATATATATATATATATATATATATATATATATATATATATATATATATATAGGTTTTGGTTCAAATAAGAACATGATCTTAGGAAAGAAATGAGAACGAATCTAGACCGTTAGATTTGCTTTAAGTGAAATTCAATGTGCATTAGATGAAACTGTAATGTGCATTAGGTGAAATTGAAATGTGCACTAGGTGAAACTGAAATGTTCAGAATAAAAGGTACGATGTGATGTTATTTTTGTACATTTTATTCCGCATATTTCAGTTTCACCAAATGCACAATTGAGTTTAAATTTTTATTCTGAACATTTCAGTATCATGTAATACACATTTCAGTTTCATCAAATGCACATTTCCGTTCCACATAATACAATCCAACGGTCCAGATTCATTCTTATTTCTCTCCTGGGAGTCCGTTCTTACTGGAACCGCTTCCTATATATATATATATATATATATATATATATATATATATATATATATATATATATATATATATATATATATATATATATATATATATATATATATATATATATACCCACACACACACGGTCTCACACTCTAGAAGCTCGCTATCAACAATGGTGTTTATGTTCGGCAACACCATGGTGCTCGGAGATGGCAGGAGCAATGATAGGGGATTCGTTAATGGATTTCATAGTTGCTATAATTCTACAGAGTAAACCTTATTACTTTTAAATTCATATCAACAGGATGATATGAAACTTTTTTATTTATGTAACGTTCATTGTGATATCATACAATAAATAAGTAGATATGTCAGCATTTTTTTATCCCTCTATAGACATAATCACATAATGTATACATCCGCAAACATCTATAAACACAACAAATTTTTGGCACAATGAAATGAAGTTGATGTGTAGGATTCTCATAAAACAAAATTTGATTATAATATTTGTGCATACAAATATACAAAACCGCAAGCCATTGAAACTGATGTGTCAGATTAAACATTTGATTAATGAAAACTTTTCTTTTTTTGGAAAGAATTAATGAAAAATTTTAGTATTGAAAAATTATTTCCTATTTCACATTTACCTGTATTTATGAGCTAAGATGATGTAGATAGTTAGACACATAAATCGTAAGGCATTGAAATTGATGGAGCGTCCATAGGAGATGGACACAGACAATGAGACATACAAGTAAGTAGTAAATTACATCGTTTGCGAACTCTTTCGATTGGAATAAATTCACGAATACTTTAATCTTCATATTGGAATTATTTAGAGAAATAGCTAAGCGGAAGCGTACCTGACTCCATTGGAGATGATCTTTAGAGATCCGAGAGACGGAGACTATGGTTTACGTCTTCTAGTTGATACACACCCTCGATATTATCTCTCTAGCGATGAGATGCAAAAAGACGGAACGACGTGTACAACTAGAGACCATAACCCCTCTATTTATAGAGAATGCTTAACCATAATCAGCCCATCATTAATTAGGTTAATTCCATGAGTCTCTACACATTTAGCCCACTTAAATTAATATCCATATGATCACTATTTTTTGGCCCTAAATATATGATAGCATATAACATACAATTAAACCCGATAAATAATATACTGTGAATATTACATGTAGTATAAGTCCAATAATCTAACAATCTCCCAGTTGGACGACATACACATGTATACATAATCTCGCAAGAGTCTGCTTGATACTCCTCCGGAGATAGCTCCTTCAGCTAGAATATAGATGTAGCCTGAAGTGGATCTCAAGCTATCTTGACATCCAGCAAAATCAGAGTTGGTATACCCAATGATCTCAAGCTGATCTGATCTCCGATATGTGAGCATATATTCCATTGTTCTCTATTAATACTGCATGACCCTTTTGGCTGCTTTCCAATGGTCCATTTCCGGATTGCTCAAATATCTGCCTAACATCCCAACAATGTATGCCAAATCAGGTCTTGTACAAACCTGAGCATACATCAAATTTCCTACAGCCGAAGCATAAGGAATGTTCCTCATTTCTTTAGATTCAAAACCATTCTTAGGGCACTGCATGAGACTAACTTGTCTCCCTTAGAAACTGAGTATCTCCTGGTTTGCAGTCTTACATACCAAACCTTTTGAGAACCTTATCGATATAGCTCTTTTGTGAGAGTCCAAGAACGCCCTTGGAGCGATCTCGGTGTATCTGAATTCCTAATACAAAAGAAGCCTCACCAAGATCTTTCATTTCAAAATTCTTTGAAAGAAATCTCTTAGTGTCGTGCAATAAGCCTATATAGTTCCTAGCAAACAGTATGTCATCAACATACAAAACAAGGAAAATATGCCTACTCCCACTGAACTTGTGGCATATACAATCATCACTGACATTTGGTTGAAAACCAAAAGATATAATGACTTTATGAAACTTGTGATACCACTGACGGGAAGCCCGCTTGAGTCCATAGATGGATTTCTTTAATTTGCAAACCACTTTCTTTGGATCTCTTGAAACAAAGTTTTCTGGTTGCTCCATATAGATTGATTCCTCAATGTCACAATTGAGAAATGCAGTTTTGACATCCATCTGATGAAGCTCTAGATCAAAATGTGCCAGTAATGTCATTATTGTTCTAAAAGAGTCTTTCGAAGATACCAGAGAGAAAGTCTCTTTATAGTCAATTCCTTTCTTTAGAGTGTAGCCTTTAGCAACAAGACGAGCTTTAAACCTTACAACATTGCCCTTTGAATCCCTCTTGATTTTAAATATCCATTTACAATCAATGGGTTTAATACCTTCAGGCAATGAGACTAGCTCCCAAATATCACTGTCACTCATAGACTTCATCTCATCTTTCATGGCATTAATCCGACCTTGAGAGTTAGAACTTTCCATGGCTTGACGGAAGTTGACTGGATCATCTTCCGCAAAACCAACATCTGATTCTTGTTCTTGGAGGAAGACAATTATTTCTTCCAACAATTCCCAATTTTCATCATGTTCTTGGAGAAATACAATATAATCATCCTGAATTACACTTCTCCTATCTCGAGTGGATCTCCTTAATGGCACCTCAGGTTCTTGAGGTTGTTGAGTTTGATCCTCATTAATAATTTCAGGTACTTGATTGGGGATGTTTTCGAGATTGTCCTGAACTGGAGTTGTTTCTTGAACATCATTAGGAATAAAAATATCTTGATTATGTTCAATGACAACTGAAGGAAGAG